AATCACGCATGCCGGAGTGCTACCGCAAAGCATTGCTAAACGTCATCACGCTTGGATGTGAACTGGTGACCGGTTTGCCGTCGCCATTTTATTAAACTGATTTTTCTTTCAAGATAAGTATCAGGTAATCGCGATTGGATTCTAGTTTTGTTAGCTCATTAGTGACAGAAAGATTTTGAAATACCCAGGGGCTCGCGACCGTTTTTCTTCCAACAACAAAAATAGAAATCTCAGGGTATATCGTTTATCACTTTGTAAACTATACAATCATTGTCGACAGTACTCAGTGTTCTTCATATATTAGCTTTTTTATATCGTTGGCGACTTGTGTGTATACAAAGACATATATGTCCTTGTTCAGAGCAAAGACGCGAATAGGCGGGGTATAGTAAATATTGACTATTCACTCTTGTCCTATTGGTATACATACATGTAATACTAACTTTTCTAACGCTAATAACCTTTACGCGCCAAGTCAAACAAACATTGATACTAAATACAAGATATCACAGTTGGTTTCCAATAGACCAATTCAATTCTACGAATTGAAGTTTTCAATGACGTATTCTTACCTCTTATTGTTGAGGCAAATTCTATAAAATTGTTCAGTCAGGTATCACACCAAGAAAGCACTACCAGGAATAATTATCTAACATGACATCACACATACAGTTTACAACAAAAAATGAAAATCCCAACAGCGTTCGTGTGTTCTATACAATCCCCAATAACGATGCTCAGCCATTCTTGAGACATGCTTGTCTCAGCTTGAGACATTGCCTCGCTAAAACTATATGTACTTACCATACCTGAAACACACACTTGTACAATGCAAATAAGGCCCACGCGTCAAATCAAACATCGCTATATCAAATACTAGATATCATAATTAGTTCCAAGTAAACCATTTTAATTCTCCAAATCAGAACTTTTATTGACCTATTGCGACTACTCTGTATTCACTAACTAGCTACAAATCAAAGAATATATCATTTTTATTTGATTATATCGTATTTTATGGTGAAATAACTCGAACAATTTAGTAGTTTCTTATTCCCCGTAATCCTTTTTCATTGCCTGAATTACATCATCTATTGACCTATTCTGACTACTCGATATTTACACTATACATTGTATTCCGACTACAAATTAAAGAGTCAAACTAACCATATGAAGGTGGCGTTATCCAATTAATTCGGTTTCCCAGTATCTGTATTAGTTTTTATAAAATTTTTATTAATCCATTCTGACTACCTCCTACTTATCAATTGGCAACAAATTACCGACTATTTCATTCGATCATTTCTGATTTGGGACGTTGTCATTCCTAATGATTTGGTGTTCTATGCTTCTACTTTCTCTATTAGTTCCTCAAAAATAGCATTTTTTATTTTTAGACGTTTTCTATTTTTTCTGAACTGAATTTGTTATTGGCCTATTTTGACTTCATTGTATTTACTATATGACTCCAAAGTAACGCCTATTTTGTTGTTATTCGATCCTTTCAGATTTGGGGGCGTAGTAACTCGAACAATTCGATCTGTGAGTTTCTAATAATAATGCTATTGCTCCCTCATAAACTACTTTTATTAATATTGAATTACATCATTTGTTGACCTATTTTTACTACTCTACATTTACTATCTGGTGACAAATTGTCATTTGAGGGATTGTACACAAACAGTTTTGTCTTTCAGAATTTTATTTTCGCGTTTTGTTCCCATTCATCCAATTTTAATTAATTAAATGGAAGTTTTTATTGACATATACTGGCTACTCAATAATGACTCACTAGCTACAAATTACCTATAGTCAGTTTCCAGAATATAGTTATCCAACCAGAATTTCATCAAAATATCCGTTGATTCCCGGCAAATAAATTTCAGAGTAGTATTTGCCCTATTCGATATTCACACAAAACTTCCTGGCGCGTGTGTAATGGAATTAACGAACATTTGATAGATATTCGATCATGATCAGATAAAAAAAATAGTTTGGGCCAGTAACCGACTTATACACAACAGTTGAATCAAACTTTAAATTTCGGAAATATTTAATGTCATCTCCGACTTGCGCTCTGAAGCGTTTCAAACTATATTGAAAGTTTTGGAAATGCGAAAAGACGACGACGCCTAACCCTAACCTGGTACACACACTACTGGAGTACACGACAAAGTACCTGAAATCTGATGACTAAAAGCAAGAGATTACAAACAGAGAAATGCACCCCTTATTATACATAAACCCTACAACTTTATACATATAAATAGATACAAACAAATAAATGAGCCGTATTCACTTTTGTTTCACCGTGTCAATGCATAATGCAGGAGGGTTATTATTCAATCGACACAAATATAGATTACTTTCATTATGTAATCATAGATTGATTACTAACAGAATAGTTGCAAGCCACAACTGACAACGTAAATCTAATGATTTATACATATAAATAGATATAAACAAACATTATGAGCCGTAAATATTTTTGTTTCACCATTCTAATGCACAATGAATTGGGTAATTTATGCAATCAGAACAAATATTGATTATTTAGTGCACAATACATAGTGTACTTAATTACAAGTCCTTTCTCCTTGATAATGATTATTCGCTGCTTGATTAATCCATATCTTGTTTTGTATGAAGAACTTAGACTATGATCTAACGAGAGCCTACAAATATACTTGCTATTTCGTGAAAAGAGATTCCATTGTCGCCATCACAGTTTAATCAAAGCCAAACTTTCCCATTTATCAAAGTATGAATTATTTTTTGACATGGTAGACGAACAGAGAAATCTTTATTTTAGAAATATTCCCGTCAATTGTTGTGAATTTCACTATTTAAAATCCTCATAATATCACACAATACATCGCATATCAATTATATCTAATATGCATACGGATCATTGTTGTAAACTGCTTGTCTGAGGATTCTGGTTAGACGAAACGTTACTGGAATACATTTGTGTTAGTGTGCAGCAGAGCTCTTGAATTTCATAGTATGATAATTTTGTTTCCTGTTACAGCATCCTTGCATTAAACGCATACAACTCTAATAGCGCAAAGGCAACGCGGAATGGTTGGGAATTAGTCTCGCGTAACCTCTACTGATATCAGTAATATCCAATGTTCCTAAATAATGTTTTTGATGGTCATGACTTTTAAAATATTCGAAGGCACCATTTTTTCAAAAAATTCTCAAAATGGCGTCGCCTATGTTTTGCTAGCTGAATATTTAAGTCAGGGTGGTCCAAACAGGCCACATGATAATGAATCTTAAAATCCAAGATTCGAAAGATATTATTAATCTTCTCTTTAATCGTTTAAAAAAATGATTGAGTTCGTGACATTCGTACCAAGACAGTACTAAGGATGACATTAAGATTATGTTTTCTAAAGATTCGAATAGAACCAAAAGCATTAATCATCAACCAAATTTTCATTTTGTGATATTCAAGGAATACCTTACTTTTCATTCAAAATTAGTTAATAATAGAAGTCTTGTGGCAAATTGGAGTATATATCAGGTTTTTAGGACTCATTCTCTCATTCATTAGGAACCACTAAAAAGAAGGTTTTACTGTAAATAATTCAACTTATTACTCTATAAGCAATTCCTCCCAGTTTTTATTCGTATCAAACTGTTTTTCGAATCCAGTTCTGCAATAATGGCTTTGCACAACGGATCCGAATTATCTTCCAAACTAGCAAAAGTTTAAACTTCAAAAACAGATTAGACATTGATCTCGTTCACGAATAATGAAATAAACTTTAGAACAAGATTTTTTATCATAGTTTGATACAATTTTGAAGCTGAAAATGGATATAATCCCAACATCATTTAAGGGACATTTCCTCCAATTTTTCAAATTTTGTATTTTTTATATTACATACCAGAAAGACATGACTTTTACTTGCGCCACCACAATATTACTGTTTTTCATGGACCATAGATGCTCTTGGATATAAAGCCCACAGTCAATAAATTGCTGAGGTAAATTTTTTTCATACATGCGACTTATCAGTTTTTAAGTTATTGAGTTACCGAACAATTTCCAGCGTAATACCCCTACCCAGGTAAAAAATCTTGGATGCGTCAATGATCGCAGCAGACATAGAACAATGCATATTATAACAAGCCATGATCTCCGCTAATAGTTGAGGCCCGCACTCAAACAACAGGATACCAACCTCAGAAACTTGTGGATCTATAACGACAGCGTGATCAGGTGAACGGGTTACCAAAATTTCCAGTTCATTTAAACGCTGCGTGTTTCGTGAACAGTCTTGCGTGAGTGATAAACTGTAGGTAAAAACTGCAGCTTGCCCCTTTTATGGAGTGTCGGGACGAAAGACGATATGTCTGAAAGAGTATTTATTTCTGCGGAAGGTGGCTTTCGTGGAAATTCAATTTTCGACTTGGTCGACAAAAAAACAGCGATAAATTGTAAAAAATTTGGAACTTTTAAAACGACCGGCCCGATTTTTCATTGTTGCCATAAAAACAAAACTTCAATCCGGACCTTCTATAAAAGCACATTACTAGGGTGACAGGATAACATGTGTGTGAAATTTCATCTAGATTGGCCCAGCCGTTACAAAGCTAGCGCTTGGACGCACAGACAGAAAAGCCACAAACACAGGCCCGTTGCACAGTTTGAATAACTTATAATATATACGAAAATACTATTACAATAATACTAAATGACTAAATCAAATTGTGGTAGCACATGAAACGCAAAGTGCTATTTTCTCGTCGGGAACATTTAAACTTCTTTCTGGGGGAAATTTACTCCCTGTTAGCAGACATTGCTTTAACGCTTGAATCAAAATAATGTGTCACATAAGGACACTTCCCAGTAACGCAGAACGTTATGAGTGACATGAGAGTAAATAAATCTCAGAGACCGTTTTACGAAGAGATAAATAAGAGTGGATAAATTACAGAGACTGTTTTCTGAGTATATCTTTTATTGAAATCAGTAAAAATCGGAGACTGTTTTTCAAATGTATAATTAAATCAATAATTTATTTCAATTATGGTTTACAAGTATTTTTTGTTCGTCGAAATGTAAAAGTTATTATATAAAGCAGGTTTCCGTATTCATTCAATAACCCATCGAGAGGATACCTGGAAATAAAATAATATTTTCCGTAAATTTCTGTTTTGGCATGTTTGCAGTAATCAGTATATTATTTGTCAACATACTGAAATACGCTTTGTACGAACAATATAGTGAAAAAACGTGAAAATAACATTTCGGGTTGGATGGTGGCGCAGAATATTGGTGAACGAGCAAAGACAGCCGTGATTGCTTCCCAGGTAATTAATACAGAATAAAGATAAAAATCGAATCTGATATTTAAAAAAAATGAATTAAATAGTCGAACATTATATCTCAAAAAAGGTTACTTGGATGAAACGTTACATATAAAAACTCGAAACACCAACAAGTGAGGTAGGTACTATAGAAACAGTATTGCTTAGACACCGCATCACTAAATCAAGTATCCAAAAACATTGTTCTGTTTGATGTTCTGGTAGCAGCCGAATTTGCAGGCATGCCAACCAAAAAGGTATTAAATAAAGAGTATACGTAAGGCCACAATGTCATCAACCACTATACCAAACTTGATATATGGACGAATGTGGAGCATGGTATATCACAAATTCTGGTTCTACAAAGAACTGTGGCAAGGGTTCCAATGCTGTAGATTAGAAAATAAAAAGATGACAGATGAGAGTAATTCCAATGTGGTAAAATCGGACAATACATGAATAATATTATAATGCAATCTGTGAATTTTTGTTCACCTAATTACTCATCCACGGTTTTCTTGAAATTTTCGTTCATCTCCCATTGTTCCTCAAAACCATCTAAAATGCAAAGATGAATTTTATCATTTTTGGGCATTTGTCATGCCCTCAAAAATATCTTCGAAAAAGTTGTTTTGTTGAAATTGAGTTCTGGGTGTCAAATGATTTTAAACACAATGATATGGTAGGCGTGAATTCACGACTTAAGTTTGGACTAGAAAAATATTTTCTTATTTTTTTCATTGATTGATTTGAAATTTGACTTATTGTCCTTTTTTACTGCATACAATTCCATTTTATAAAGTAATTGAACACCACCGAGCATTCTAACATATTCTAGAAAAATAATAAATGCTCTTCTATTCGATACAAACTATCCCAAAAATGAATTAAAACGATTCCGAATATGCTACATAATGTCTTTGGATTAATTCTATTTACATCCTCCTTCTATACCATGACATGCCACCATATCTACAGTTTGCAGCAGCATCAATACTGAAATAACCAACCACAATAACAGTCGGAAATTTGCTTCAGAAATCATATTTTGCATAAATTTTATAGTTAAATTTTTTTTAGGTAAATATGAAACTAAACAAAATATGAAAAAATATATAGGACAAAAAGGTAACAGACTTTAGTCTGTGAAACAATTATTAATAAGAAGTAATGGCGGAACTGAACAATTTTTTTGAAGAAAGTAACAATAAAGGGTACTCCCGAAGTATGTGAACCAAGATAGCGGACACCGGAACGTAGTACAAAGTTAGTGTTAGGTCATAATTTTAGGTACACATACTACGTCAGTCATTTGGTTTGTCTCCTAACTCGTAATAGAACCAAAATAAGGAAAATTGAAATAAAATTATGGCCTAACCCCGACTTGGTACACATACTACGTTCCGGTGTCCGCCATCTTGGTTCACATCATTCGGGAGTACCCAATAAAATGGAAGAAATAAAGCAAATATAACTTTATATAAAAGAGTGAATATTTTTACATGTTTTATATAAGATAACGCGCTTCTATGATGTCTATACTCAACCTTTGTTGGCAAAAATTAATCTTTTAAGGCTATTGTTAATGCCGATGCTTTACAATAAAGTAATGACTATTTTAAATCCATATATTATCAGTTATTTTTTCTACACTGCATTTTAATTTTAAACTACATTTGCGTTTCTGTCGTTTCACCCTAATTTTTACAAACAACCTGAAATTTCATTCACTGATAAAAGTTGAACTAACAAACCTATTGTACGCATCGTCTAATGCAGGTGTAGGCAATTACTTTCCTGAGTGGGCCGGATGCGGATAACAGACTTGGTTACTGGGCCGGATGATCAAAACTCAGTATGATCAGAAACGGTTGTTTGCAAATACCCAGATTGTTAGTATAGGGAGAAAGAGATGCTGATGGTTGTGGGGATAAAGACTATCACCCTATATATTTAAGTTCGATTCCCGCGTTATTGTTTTGACACGCGTTGTGGAATGTGACTCCAATCTGGACTCCTTCAGACGATAATAAGCCCACAGTGTTGATGCTAATCGTTGTTGTATATTATGGGAAGATGCACAATCCAAATTCCGAAAACAGATAAAATTGCAACACACTTAACTCTTAACACAGTAAATCAGGAGTGAATCAAAACACATCACACTTAACGCAGTAAAACAGAAGTGGATCAAAACACATCACGCCTAACGCAGTAAAAACAGAGGTGAATCTAAACACAATATTATGCAGCCCTCTCGGCAAGCCGGGACGATACGTCATCAAATTGGTCGATACGAGAAAGGCAGTACATGTAATCAGTAATCAGTGTTGCTACAATAAAATGACCTATTGTGGGAAATGGAACACACTATTAAAATGAAAGGGTTAAATACATTATAATTCATAGTTACACAATGCACATTCGCTACACTAGACACAATGATCAATGGGCCGTTATTACAGGGGCTGGCAAATTATGGCCGCAGCGCAAAGAAAGTTGATAAAAAAAAACTTAACAGCTGGGCTGATGGGCTGGGATAACGTTAATAATAAAGATAGTACAATGTAACAATTGCGGTCATGACGACCGTATTTGATAAATGGATTATTCAAATCAAAGAGAATAAATGGTGCGCATTCCTGTCGTTTACGAACAAAATTACTGTAACTTGGGATTTAGGAGGCAAGTGTTATTTGATTGATTTTATTTTGTATCCAAAATAGGAAACGGAAATTCCAATGGCAACAGTCGTCGTGATTACCCATTTGTTGAAATTGCCGACTTTTTCACCGTTGATGGTTTTTCTGTTGCGCAAAATATTCAGTTCAAGACTAATACGAGAATTAAAAATGGCTTGCCATATCAATTTAATATATAATATAATCAATTTAATTATATATTAAGAAAAGGAGCGATCTTGGTCATTTGATTAATTTGAGCCACTTAAGATTATTTTTAAGAAATCACCATTTGCAAAAGTCCAAGGTCGGTCATAAATTCCCACGAGTACAATTCAATACGATAAAGTAAAAGCATTGCAACTTTGAAATAATGCGGCGATATGGCGTAGCACAAACACATATTTGGGAACCGCTGGGATTTGCTATAGTTTCCGATCCGATGAAAAATAACGAAATTTTTGGTATTTGCCAGGTCAAAAATAGAGCTTTGAAAACGAAATTTATGATGTTCTGCATTATATTTTGTGATATATATATATATATATTATGACTCCGCTCCTTTATTACAATAATCACTTCCTCATTTTCAGTCGCTAATTGTATTTGCGGATTAAATTTTTAGTTTGTATTTAGTCTCTCGTTTCAGATGACCACACAATAAGGAGTTTTGCACACTTCACGCACAGTTCCAAGGAAACCCTTTTCTCGACGTCCTCATAATACAGGGATAATTCCCTGTAATATAGTTTATCGATATATTACTGATGTTCACGTCTTAAATACCCATGACATGCTGAAGAAACTATCAGCGATTTTAACTCAAACCCCCCGCCGACGGACGATTTGTTGTTTCTCTGATCTCTTCAACGATAATTTTTATGCATGAAAACTATAGCCGAATTTCAACACGAACAAGTGGGCCGGACAAAACGCTAAATTTTCGGATGATTTGAATATCCAAATACTGCCATCTATTTTAATTCTTCTTTTTGTTCTAAATAATTTAATGAGAAAATGAAAATACTAGATCACAGTCAAGTTCACAACTTTTCAGAAAACAAAAACACTAATATCCATAATGACGAAATCAAATCAATTATGAAAATACAATTCTGATCGTTCTCACATAAAAATGGTTCCAATATAACATTTTTCCTATAAGCAATTGCTGAACAACACAACATGAAAGAACATTATAATGAAAAGATTTTCTTTACCTAGAAATACTGCTTTGAATCACGATGTGAAAACTTCCTGTTAGGAAATGCGTTTATTTGTAGTATTTACCAGTTTAATATTAATTAAACATTTTAGCAAATTTATTACCTTTATGATAATAAAAACTTTCATTACAATTCTTGTTTGATTTATCTTTATTTGATATATACTTCAAAATATATTAATGTAGTGGAATTTCGTGCTCATTCAGTAATCCGTTGATAAAGCTTGGAAGTAAAAGAATATTTGTTTGCAAACACATCCAGGAGAGGTCGCTACGCTACCCGCGAAGGGAATCATAAGGAAAAATTTCGATAAAGTAGAAAAAAGAGGCTCGTTTGGTGTTTGATAAATGTACGAAAATCGTTGCGCCTGACTCCTTCAGTTCATTGAGTAGTCTTGATAAATTGCTCACACCTAATGGGAGTAATCAATTTTAAGGTGCGTGATCAATCAAATTAAATTATTTTTTCAGTCTTGACCATGCCTTTAGATTCTGGATAAATTTTCTCAGAGGCCTGCAATAAGCCAAAATCACTAGAGCGTGACTGTTTGGTAGTAAAAAAAAATCAGTCTAAAAACGATTCGAATAGTTTTACGAGTCATGCCCATGTCATTAGATCCTTGATAAGACCTCTCAGAGGCCTGCAATAAGCCAAAATCACTAGACCGTGACTGGACTTCGGGGGGGGGTTGGTATTTGAAAAAAAAAAATTCTCGAAAAAAGCATTAAACTAATTTTTTCAACCGTAACAAAACGTTTCACCACCCCCAATATGACTTACCTTAAGCTTACCCTATAACGATTCGTAATAAAATGAGTGTAAAAAAGGTGACCGAGGTAAACTGGGTGGAAACGTATTTTCTTACCCACAACAACGTAAACCACAGTAAATGGTGTGTTTTCAAGTAATATCTGTCACGAAAAAATATAATTTTAGGCGACATTACAAAATCAAACCCGGGAAAGATACCACGGTTTTTACTTGAGAGGCAATTTTTAAAATAAATTAGGGTTTTGAATATCTTCCTTAAAAACTTATTAGAACAGTAAACTCACCTTAAAAATATTTATAGTGAATAAACTCGCGATGTTTTAATCACTTTTGGGTTTTGGACTGCGGCCCACGAGACTTCCTTGGCCCGACAACCTCGAAATCTTGGACCACCCTGTTCTATCTCACAGAGCTGTGGCTTATTCTTAAACTATTGTATTGCGACTTACGCGCAATGACTTTTGACTCTGATTGTGCTTTCGCACTGAAGTGCTCTCGGTTGCCTAACCATCCAGCTCATTATTCGTCTATGACTTTTATTCATATTAAATTGATTGTTCCTCGAATAGCTAAATGAAGAGAAACATTGCTAAGATATTCCTGAAATTTTGAATCCTCTCATACCTTATATTTGATATCGCAAATAAATTGGTTCCCAACGTCTTCCCCCTAACTTCATCCCTCTGTCTATTTTTGATTTCTTCATTCCTCTCTCACTACGCATAAACTTTTTGTTTCACTTCACACAAGAACACTTCTCAGCAACACAAAACGTTATGAGTGACACAAGAGTAAATAATTCTCAGATTCTTAGTTTTCTCAGTGTTTATTGAAATCAATCATTTATTGCAATTTTAGTTTTAATAACTGTTTATGGTTTGGCAAGATTAAAATATTATTATATAAAGCAGGTTTCTGTGTTTATTCGATAATCCATGGAGAGGATGCCTGGAAATATAAAAGAAGATTTTATGTGAATATCCGTTTTGTCATGTTAGAGACCAGTACTTCATTTTTTTACCATACTAAAAATACACTTAGACGAACAATATAATAAAGAAATGTAAAATTGGCATTTCAGATGGCATTTCAGGTTGGAGGGGGCGGAAAACCTATATTGATAAACAATCAAAGATACCCGCAATTAAGTCTAAAAATAATAACAGAAGAGAGAAAGAAAAGTCGAAAGTTTTATCATTAAAAAATTCATTTAAAAAAGAACGTCGCATGTAAAAATACAACTCAGAGCAGCAACAAGAACCGTAGAAACAGTATTTCTAAGAAAGACACCGCAGCACCAAATAAAGTATTCAAGCACATTGTTTTGATTTCTTTTTAGGGGCTGGTAGAACCCAAGTTTGCAGGCATGCATAACCAAACACTCATTAATGATCATATGGTATATCTAACTTGGTAGTTGGTACATGTGACAAATGCGAAGTAAAATACAGCACAAATTCTGGTTCTGCATTAATTGTGGTGGGTTTCCGATGCTTGAATCGGTAGAATATCAAAAACGAAACAGATATAGAGGCATTCTTATGTGTTAAAATTTCAAGAATACTATCATTCCTTACCATTATTCTATTGGAATAATATCATTCCAATCTGCGAGTTTTAAAATCATTTTGATTATTATTTTCTTGTACATTTGTCTTAAATTGTAGATTCAACTTCATTTGTTCCAGATATCTATCTAAAATACAAAGGTGAATTTTAGCGTCTTGGGCATATTTCCAATGTCCCCAAGAAGTTTTTGGAAAAGTTGTTTTGTTGAAATTGAGTTTGGGGTGTCAAATGATTTGGAACACAATGATTTTGGGGGCGTAGAGTAAATACTTAGATTGAAATATGAAATATATATATATATATATTTTCATTGAATAATTGGGAGAAAACTTCAAATTATTGTTTTTCTTTAAGCCCCATACGATTACAGTAAATAAAATATATAAAAATCATTAGATATACTGTACTATTTTAAAAAAAACTTTAAACGCCCTTCCATATTTTATGAACTATCATTTATACAAATCAAAACAATTTTTAATTTACTACAATAGAATAATCCTACCTAACCAATCTCCTCCATTGCCCTGACACGCTATCATATCTACAGCTTGCAGCAGAATCAATATTGCAATTACCCACCAGAACAACGGTCGGACATTTGCCTCAGAAAACATATTCCGCATCGATTTAACACTAAAATTTCAATCATTATATATAAAACGAAACAAAATATAATAAGAAAATATTTTAAACAGATGTTAGTCTGTGAAACACTACATAATAATAAGTTATAATGGCGGAACTAAACAAAATATTTGAAAAAATAATAATATAGTGAAGGAAATTAAAAAATTTTTATTTTAATAAAAAGTCTTTTATTAACACGATATCATAGCCCGAGGCGTGTCGATTTAGAGTATTAAATCCTATTTTTAATCACGTTATTTTTCGTTTATAGCAAACTGCAATAAATCGTAGCTTAACACCCCTCACAAACGCGTAATATGTATTTCTTTGTATATATTGAAATTACCCTTATTGATAACAAATCTTAAGTCAATTTTTCGATTTCATCTTTTATTTAGTGTTGATTAGAAATATTTTAAATATTAATATATATAATATGTTTTTTTTATCGTCTGACGTCCATGGGAAAAGCCCGCAAAAAATGAAGGAATATATAACATATATATTCATCTCATTAGTTTTCGATGATGTTATTCGGATATTCCCAGCTCCAATGGTTCCTGAAAACCTGGATAATGCAAAATTGAAAATACAAAATTAACGAAGAGTTGTGTAATTGTTGTACACCCTCAACAGGAAGTCTAGAGTGACAAAGGAGCGGCACTTTCTTCAACATTACCCAATGTGCATCAAATTAAGAACAACATAAATGGCCAACGAATAAATTTTCAAATCCAAACAACAATTAGGCTATAAACCCACCAAAGTTTGGAATGGAATTTCTCGCATTGATATCGCGTTATTGACTTATTTTTTGAAGGTTTCAAAAGTTTTAATCTGATACAATTCATCAATCAAGCGTAATTTAATTCGCATATCTACATCATACTTTACTCACCTCCACATGCAGGTCATGTGCATTGGCATGTAACCACGTCTATACTTTGGAATATCATCATCAATAAAATTAACCACAGCACCAACTATTCGATATTTGTTCCAGAAATCATGTTTCGTAATGATTTTTTTAGTAATGACTAAACAAATTATTGAAATAAAATAAACCAAAATTATAAGAATCCAATATCTGACAACAGATAACAGAAGAAAATGGTAAGCGAATCTTGTACAAGCGACGAAATTACTTGTTGAAAATCCTTGACTTGGAATTCATGTACGTTGAATTAAGTCAAGTTTACAACAATCTGCGAAACACTAGATTGATATACAGTAATGACAGAACTAAACAAGATATGGAAATACAATTCTGTCTATTGTTATCACAAGAAACAATGAATCATATATTGTACCTTTGTTACTAACATTCATCAAACACCTCAATAAGCAAGAACATTATAATAAAAGGATTTCATTAATATTGATTTTAATCCTGTCTTATGAAATATGAATTTTCCTGCCAGGAAATGACGTAAGGATGTCTGATCGGTGCTTGGCGCGTGTCGTTTTATATCTCCTGACACAGATTTGAAGTTTGCTGCGTTGCAAAAATCATAATTTCAGTTTAATTCTATGTACACAGTTAAATAAATTTATTGCCTCATTATATTTCCAATTTGACGTAACATAAACACAATGATTTAATAATTATTTCTTTATTTTTATTTTTTACCGTATTATTTAATATATATTTCCCAAAACATCTTGGTAAATATTCCATTGTAAAATATGAGAAATTAAATTATGACGATTTATCGGCTGTTTCATTGTACAATTAAACCATCTTTTTTTTATCCAGCTCTTTGTAGTACCTTCCACATATAATAAAGATTGCCTTTTGCAAATTGCAACGAAATACCAATAAAGCGTGACTGGCCGATCAAATTCTCTCTCGTTCACCTGATCTTTCTCTCTATCCCTTTTCTGTCATATCCATGCTCTCTATCACTCTGTCTCATTTTTTATTTTTTTACCTGCGTTTTCTCCAATTAATTGTTATGTTACCAACATCGGATAAATAAAGAAGTAAATATTATGAGAAGTGTATACAAAATTATAATCAACGAATGTTTATGGCATTGCCCATTGCAAAAAGTGTTTAATGTAAGTATTTTTGATTCGAGTATTTTTAATTCAAAATTTTTTTAATTTTTTTTTTGATGTCGCCACGAGTCAACAAGTACAGTATTGAATTGTTTGAAAAACTGTAAATAGTCTGTAATGCCGATGAAGGAAATATGTTACAATGATAGGTATAAAAGTGATTTATTGATTGACAGGCTTACTCATTTCAAGATCACGCACACTGGTAATTGCCCCATCGATTATTCCTCTTTTCTAGTTACGCGACAACCAGAAGCGTACCAAAGATCAGGTTGAACCGGAAGGACCTTAATATTTAATAAAGTGACGTCACAAGTTCCTACTTGCATCAAATAAAAAGTTGCAGTTATAGGCAACTATGACATGAAAAATTGGTCATACATAAACACTTCACAACACAACATTTTTTAACTGACTCAAGAGTAGCTAAATCTCAAGGAATGTGTCTGTGTTTGTCTCAAAATTACCCGTAATGACAACAGAGCATAAATCTATTAATCAAGTTAAGCCTTTATTCACTGTTGAGTATAAGAGATATATTTTCATAATCGATGGCTTTTCTGTATTACGTGAATAATACCTGAAATAATAATAAAAATGTGCTTAGTGAACAAGAGAAGGCTAAAACGAAGTATTATGAATCGTATTATGTCAACCGGTACCGCAGTGTTCACGACCACCACCAGGCACGAGTTCGCGAAATCAAAATGGAGTAAAGACGTTGCAATAAAATTAAAATGTGTTCCCATGAATAACATCAAAACAGCGATCCCCTAAAATATTGAAAAATAAAAGCAAAAGTGTTCTAGCCACAACAACAATCTTGAACCACTAGAAATTTTCAAGCAAATGATCTGGTAGAAAAAAGCGCTTTTTGCACAACAACATAATAACCAAACGATCAATATGTACACTTTGTGGTCAAAAAGAATTTGGTTTCTGTCGCATACACAATATTATTATATATTAACTACGGTATATTCACCTCATTATTCTTCGATGATTTGACAAAATATTTTTTCGTTTTAAACTGTTTCTCGAATCCATCTGAAAACGTTAAGCTAATTAGGAAGAATTTTGCACTGCCGAGTCCGTAGACACTTTCCCTAATATCAGGCATTGTACAGTCTGGGCTTGGATTCGCGATTAAGATTTTGACTCAACGAATAACTGATTGATTATACTTACACCCTTTTCCTTTTGGACCATAGAATGCAGCTATATCCATAGCTTGCAACAACATCAGTAATAAAATTACGCAAAACATAAACGGTATGAAATTTGCTCCTGAATTCATATTTCAAATCTGCGAAACACTAAAATAAACATTTAGCAATGATGGAAATAAATAAATTATCAGGATGTGATTTAATACCAGAAACATAGGCTGAATAAAATGACAAATAAAAAACTTTCATTCAAAACAGCAATCGGTATAATCTTACTCTCTGATTACTTATGTATTAAATATTATTGTAAAAAAAAAACTGGAACATTATTCTCTCTATCGCTTTACAAGAAACATTACATTTTCTATTAACAACTCCCTGTACAACGTTGCTGGCAAATAAAATCAGAGAAAAGATTTTACTGGGTAACTGGTTTTATTGATTTTGATTCCTCTGAATACATGACTTCCCTGGAGGAAATAACTTCTGTACTGATTGACGTGTTTTATTGCCCTACTGCTCATAAAACGATGATAAAAAAGCACTACTTTATCTTAAAATTATTCACATAATTACCGGTGCAATTAAATATATAAATGGTTTAACAAGCCCAATGATATTTATTTCCATTATATGTCCGTTTCAACGTAATGTTAGAGATATTTTTTCTACAATAAAAAAAAATTAAAATTAAATGAATTATGTTCATCAAAGTACTTTTTTTATATTATGAATAATGTTAACAAAGAAAATAGGAAATATTTTGCAGCGTTCAGGTTTGTCGCTATTAATTATGTAGTTATATTGAAGTTACTAAATTCAGATAAAGTAGTGATTTTTGCATTGTTTGTTAAGTGTGAAAAAAGGAAATGAAACACATCAGACATTTCAAATTAAAACATACACCATTTCCAGCCAGGAAGTTGTAACATTTTGATTCAATAATCAATATGTGGAGTTCTCCCGCAATGAAAAATCCTATGTCGTATATATTAGCATGATACGACATGCAGTGAGTTGTTGTTATGAATTATTTGTTGATATACTTTCCTATGATATTTAATGTGCAAATGTGCTTCGATTTTGTTAGATTAATCAAACTTTTTTAATAAGATGTAACATACAGGAATTTTTTCATTTGTATCAAACGCGCTTATTATTCCATATTGGTATCAGTGCATACGGATAATCTTAGATCTGGGAAGCGTATGGTCCTCATATGGAAACATTCACATAATAAAACGTCAATTTCAAAAAGAAAGTAATTTGGTGTTGCTTGTTGTTGGAAAATTTATTCAATACTTTATATTAATTAGTGTTCAAACACCCGGTAATATGAAGTTTAAAGCAAATACTGGACTACTGTACGTGTACCTAATTTTGATACTGATGTTGTTGCAAGTTATAGGTATGGTGGCTTGCCGATACCAAGGAGGAGGAGGAGGAGGAGGGCGTGAGTATAATTACCATGTTGTAAAGGAATAGGCATGTCAAATTGGTTAGTTCTATTCATAGCATGTGGCAGACGAATGTTTAAAATAAATTGTAACGAGACATGAGTGGGATATAGCAAGTCAAATTGAAATTTATTACAAAAATTATGAATAATGAGTAATGATTAAATTATTGTTCACTAGTTTTAGTCTGGCAGTGAAATCAAACTCACCGTCTGATTCGCGGGTTTCAACATTATTAGGCCATGGCGAATATCAAGCTTTGTATTTTCCATACCTTTCTTTGAACGTATGAAAACATTTCATAAACTTTATGTCAATTTTGTATCTTTAGGAGGATTAGAAGAAAATTTCGAGATGAATCAATTGCATTGGGAAGAACTCACCTAAGAATGATTCAGCTTTTTGTATATGCAACTAAAACTGAATGCATATTTATTTTTTCGTTTCAGACATTCTTCATGAATTTCCTAAAAACTTGAAAACTGCTAATTCTAATATGTTTTGAAAATTTCTGAATAAAAAACAAGTTCAATTAACGGTCACTCTCGGGTTGTTGTGTGGTTATAGATAGAAGAAACAAGTTAGATGAAGGGAGCAATAATTGTTATAAAGATTTCATCATAACTTTCTGAAATGAAAAAAATCATCAATGTATTCTGGTAGAGATATCTTATACACTGCATTAAACAGTAACAAAAGCAAAAAAGAAACAATTTACATATGTTATATGTGATGATACTTAAAATTTACGTATACCTGTAACTTTTCAATGATACACTCACAAGTCAATTTTTGTATTGCAAGATTTACGCATAAATTTCTGCGTATGAAATAAAAAAAACAAAACACGTCAAATTTTTGCGAATCGGATTAGAAAAAGTCCCACAGTCAAATATTTACAACAAACAGTATACCGCACTTGTATTTTTCTCAGAGGAGGATTTAGCACAGTTTTGTATAGAAGTATATGATCGTCATATGGAAGTTCACAATAAAAAAAGTCAGTTTTGGAAACTTCAAGTTCAAACTTGCATGATTATCGTTATTTGTTCATTTACTTCGTTACTAATTATTAATTAGTGTTCCACCGACTTAAAGTATGGGTTTTAAAGTAAATGCCAGGCTACTGTTCGTGAGCTCAATTTCAATACTGATATTCGTACAAGCTATAGATATGGCTGCACGCCATCGAGGAGGAGGTGAGTAGAACTAATGTTGTCGTTACTCAATTGAACGGGGTGTCAAATTGAGCTTTTTGATGAATAGGAAAACGGTTTAGCAACGAGAAATATTGGATAAATAAAAGATCAAGCTGATTTGATTATAAATTTCTAATTGAATGTGTAGTGGAGGTACAGTCCGGGTTTGAAACTTCAGAAAAAAATTCGAAAATTCAAGAACAACATCTCATTCATGTTATAAGTAGTTTGATACACAGTGTATATTATCAAGGTGATTCTTTACAAATACTTTCCTTGAACTGTGTGAAAACGCCACTTATTCTCTAATTTTGTATTTTCAGCCAGATTTGGAGAACAGTTCGAGATGACAGAGTTTTCAATTAAACTTTTCGAAGAATAATTAGGTTAATATATATCTTAAATTGTTCATTTTTGTGTATCAAATGCACATTTATCTAAAAAGATTGTTTTTTTTTCGTCCAAGTATTTCCGTGAATTTTTGAATATACAATGAATTCTACTACTGTATATCCAAGACAATTTAAGTTGTATCTAAATATTGAACTTTAAATAAAAGCTATACTGAAATACATGGACTTATAATTTGTATCAGTACGGGTGATTGAACTACCTACTCAGAAATGGGCCGCTGAAAATTAATCTATCTACTCTTGTGTCACTCAACAAATTGATGACACATATGTGAGAAGAGTTCTAATGTTACCAATGCTTGGTCAAATATATAAAATATTACTATGTTTCCTAATGATTTGCGTATATATTTAAATACTAATACTTGGAATTGGCTTCCAAACTCTCAGTTATTCCACTTTTTTTACATTTGTAATCATTCAATGAAGATTGGCAACTTAGTCGGTTGATAAAACATTTACCCAATATTTGTTTTTGTTTTGTAGATCGAATCAAATTGTGCTGGTACGTACATGGAATTTAAAGCATTTTAAATTAGTACGATCCGGAAAAAAAATAAAATTTTAAGTGGCAGTAACATACCCAAAAAAGAATTAGGTACGAAATTTTGGTATAAAAATGAAAATGGCAGGCAGAAATGATCTCCGAGAAAAAGAAGACAATAAATTTAGTAGAAATTTGCAATTTACTGATTTTTCATTTCAATGTTTCTATATGAGGATCATACTCTTCTATTCCTATAAACGCTAATGTTATTTATGCTCTCCAATATAAATGTAAAATGCCAAGCTGGTCTAGTACAAATGCGTACTTGTAAATTCTTGACTGCAGGCTTATTTCCTCAAAGCCTATTAGCAAAAATCTGATACAATAGAAGCAAATTATTCTATCGTTGTCACAACTCATTTCACATCGTAGCAAAACAGATTAATGCGAAGTGGCAAGCAATTAGTTTTGTACGCGAAGACAGAAAACGAAGCACGTCAAGCATTTCACATCCAAACAGATATGATTTTTTTCAGGAAGTTGTCTCATCCTGATTTGACGCCAATAGCTCAAATTCCCAATTAAAGGAAAATCATTTAGTCGTTATTCACTTGATAGCTGTAATGTGCGATGAGCGTGGATACGCATCAAAATATCTAAGTCAATTTATTGCTCAATGACTTGTTATACATTTGGTTATAGCTGATTTAATTCCTACAATTTAAATCTAATAAAATTTATTACAATTCTTTCTTTCAAAATCCATTATTCCATATATGCAAAAATCCTACTTCGTGCGTCAAGAAAATATAAAAATACTAATGAAGTTTTCAAAACAATTCTGTTATATCCGATTTTATTATCAAAAAACAAAGTTCTAGTCGCGCGTTGCATAAATTTACTATTGTTATTCGTTGTTGGCAGGACCGTCGGGCATAAGTTGCTGTTTCTCATTAATATGTGTTGTTCGAAATAACAGGAAAAGTAGATTAATAAAATGAAATATCAGTAGCCTAGACTGGTAATAAATTACTTGATGAGGCGTAGAAGTGGGTTTTTTTGCAAGAGAATATGAAATAGATATTTGGTAGTTTTGAAACAACAAGACCTTGTTTGAACTCGGAACGTTAAACTCAAAAATGAAACAAACAATATTAAGAAAATACGCCTAAAGCTACGATGAATCCTCATTCACTAATAAACTAAAAAATGACGTATGGCTGAATACGATTGAACACTCTCATCCAACACGCCTCGAGCTATGATATAAAATTACATTCATGTATAGACAAGTACAGCTGTGTATTAGACGTTTCGTACGATCTATTAATTAGGCTAAACTTTATTTAGGAAATGAAATTTAAGTTTTTTCGTTGTAGTACAGTAAAAAATACGAACATTTCTTGAAGCACTCGAAATAAGAACCCTTCAGTTCAGGAAAATAACTTTAGTATATGGCTGGAGAGTATTTTCTCTTTTAAAAAAAGTGCAAAGTTGATGGAGCGATAGTCTTTACCTTTTATAGAAGCTTCTGATCTTCATATGAAATGATTTACAAAAGATGTTCTTCATAAATAATCAAAATCTTGTAGTTTATGGGTTTTATATTCTCACAACTTAGTCAGCTACATCATAACAAGGTAATAATTTAGTGTTTCATGACCTTGAAATATGGATTCTAGAAACAATGCTATAAGATTGTTGTTTTTGCTGGTAATTTCAACGATGATATTGCTACAAGCTTTACATGAAGGAAATGCACGTGGAGGAAGTAAGTGGGGCTATTTTGATGCCATGATGTTTTAATTAAAAAATCTTTTGAAATATCATGTATGGGATTCGAAAATTTCAACAAATGTTTGACGAATACTTCGGCCATCCATCCAATTATTCTCCGAAATGGTATACAGTTAACAAAACAAGGACAGTTGTGGACAGTTTGCGAACGCAATATAAACTATTAATGAATTTTTATTTTCATTTTTTGCAGGATTTAAAGAGCAGTTTGCAATGAAAGGATAATGGGGATATCCAAGAATAATGGGGTGAATATACATTTTTGTTTTTCAAATTTTTGGTTTATGTAATCGGAACACAGTGCACATTTGCCTAAAATATTATTCTTTATTTCAGGTCTGGGTGAATTTCAAAATAAAGATGAAAACCTATAATATACAATCCTTCTTTGGAATATGTCATATATACACGTAATTAAAGCTGAAGCCAAAATTGAACATATATTTTTCTATCAACATGGGGGACGGTCTAAAAGTAGGCACTTAAGAATTAGGGATCTTTACAAGCACTTATTTTGTCAAAAAATAATGAGAGTAATAACTTAAAGATTATGAACTGATTATGTTATTGAGCAAAGTCTATATTGAGATTCAAATCTAAAATTTGAATGCTTACACGTGCTTAAGCACCACAAAAGTTCAGCAGCCCTGGAACTTCAAAAACAATAACGAAATCTGGATGATCACCAGAAAAAAGGCTTTAAAAGATATGTATTAGACATATTAGTTATTCGATGTTAATATCTGAAGTACGAGGGTTTAAGAGGGATGGCAAGTTTGTGCGTACCATTGGAAAAAGAGACAAGGAACAAATACTAAACATTCTCGTTAATTAAATAGCAATTTTGAATGAAAAATAGCGCTCTATAGAAATAAAATTAAAGGCCACGATAATTTCTAGCGACAGCGACTTCTTCCATCCAACTATTGGAGCCGATTGAATCATTACTTACTTTTTTACAACAGCGACGACGACAGCCTCAATTTAGCACAACAATCCAAAATGCACTTCGTGACTAAAAATCGAAGAGTTAGGAATGGGGAGCATGTTTTTCGGATTGGCTATTATTAGTCCGAGTCTGTTTAGCGGGTGTAATGACTGTTACATTGATATATATTTCATCCAACTGCTTCTCAGCAAATTTACATTTTTTTACGACTTCAATTGCTCACTTTGATGACTTCAAAGATACAAATTATCAAATCCTGAAAATAAACGAAAGACCTATACGATTAAAAGTCCGAAACTAAACATATCAAAAATGGCAATATCAATATTGTGTGCAATGTTAATAATTCAATATATGCTGAAAAACTATCATAGTCATAAATTCAATACATTTGTATAAATTATCCAAAATATTCAGAATTTAATTTGAAGACGAACTTTTGAATCTAACGGATTACCGTCGCGCCTCGTTGACTTGAAACCCCACTGCGTTACAAATTAAAATAACACGCAAAAGGTAAAATAGTCTTCATTCATACGATTTCGGAAACATAACAAATATTTGGGGGAGAGATCTCGAGAAAGTGGTTCTTTTTGTCATTGACCTCTCGTTGTTATTATTAAACAACAGGCGTGGTTATATATCGGAGCTACGGAAGAGTGTTAAATAAATAAAAAGAGAAGCTTTACCCAAACAA